AGGTAGCAGAACTTGAAAACAGGCCACAGTACCAGCAACAAGAGAGAATGTTTTTTGAGCGTGAGTGTGAGTTCAGAAAAACTTAGTGTGTTTTTGTGTGTGTTAATGAAAAGCCAGGTATTCATAGTGTGAAAACGGGCAGAAAAATAGGGCAAGAAAATAATTATGGAACTGTGTACCAATTAAAATCAATCAGTATAAAAACTTCCTTTAATTAAGGAGTTAAAATCAAACGGTAACATGCAATTGCTAAATAAGGAAAGAAATCACATAGGGCTGAATATAACCAATAAGGAAGTATCTCGAGTACACAGTAGGTAATTGAGGCTAGGTTCATCAGGCTCTAATCAAGGAAAGGTCTGTAAGAATCCAATACAAATATAATCAAGGTAAGGGATTAATCAAATTGAGTAGAAAATGTAGGGGTCAAAAGTTCAAAAGAAAGTATTAAAATAGGTCCAAGAGACAGGGAAATCAATACAACAAGGAAAGAATCAATTACAAGAGTGCAATCAGAATTACACAAAGAGGTTTGAAATCAGTCCACAATTAAGGGTTCTTTTGAGAGGGAAATTTAGCATATAAAAGAGTGCATAAACACTAGGCATGCGAGGCTGAACTCATGACAAAGGGAATAATAACATGATAGTCACATAGGTCAATTTCACCAACATTAGAAATAGAGAAAGGGGAGAGTATCAGAAGCATGCAAAAGGTCAAGTAGAAAGCCTTTCTGAAAACTGTAGTCCAGTTCCAATGATCACATAACGCAACAGAAGTTGAAACAAAGATTTCAAAACTCGGTCGAGCAATAGAACTGTAGTCCAGTTCCAATGATCACATAAAGCAATAGAAGTTGAAACAAAGATTTCGAAACTCGGTCGAGCAATAGATGAAACAACTTCAGAAACTCAAATAGGTCCAAAGAAAATAGGGTTTTGAAACCAAACAAGTTCAGATATGAGGAACCAGCAAATCACATAGCAAATAGTCTCCGGACTCGAATGAACCCAAAGTTTTAGGGTTTTTACCATCAATCAAGTCATAGAGATGAAAAACAAGCAATCGAACAAATACTAACACGAAAATATATTCAGAAACCTCAAAAGGAACTAAGACTTTTAACATGCACACTCCTGTATAAGAACAACATAAAGAACACAGTAGAACATGTCCAAAATCAGAAAAGCTTCGAAATAATTTAACAAAAACCCTAAACCAAAAAAGGTAAAGAGGTTTCGAAAGCAGAGTTTTGAAAGAAACTTTGAGAAAACGTTTAAAAGCTTAGAGAAAACACAGATCTAAAATAATCGGGAGAAACCTCGAAGGTTAAGGTTCCAAAAGAACCTAGAAGGTGAGAAAGACTTGGAAAGTCATTGATCTAAGCATGAGAAGTCAAAATTAGGCTTGAATAGCCATGGCTGGCCGGAGCAAGGTCGAAAATGACCGGAGACAGCATGATACTGAAATAAACCAGGGTCTGGACCAAACTTCTTCAAGGTTTGGTCTTGAGACCATAATAGTCGAGCATGTAGGAGTCGTAGGAGGCAGGTACATGCCTTTAATGGCTTTGGAACCCATGGATTTCGGTGATTTTAGGGTGGAAGCGGAGGGAGGCGGCTAGGGTTTGAGAGGAGCTTGAGAGAGAATTGGGAGAAGGGAGAATTCAAGGGCGGCCACAGATGAGAAATGATTAGGTTTAGGGGTTAGTTCAGGTTAAAAAAGGAAGGGGCAAATATGAGCCGTTGATCTAAGTGATCAACGGCTGGGATTAAAAGGGGATCCGGGCAGGTTATTTAAAAGGGTTGTGGGTCGGGTAGATTAGGACTTGGGTCAGGGTAATTGGGCCTCTGGTTGGGTCTAATTAGAGGTTTAGATCTGGCTAAAATTGAAATACAAATGGGCTAACATTTAAATAGCCATTTTCCCTTATTTATTTTATAAAAAATAGTAAAATAATTTTTGAAAAATAAATTAAAAGTACTAAAATGATTAAAAATACATAATTATCAAATGAAAAATACTGGAGTCAATTTTATAAATATAATTACAATTAAATCTTAAAAGAGGCCAATATTGCAATTATATGCAATTTAGTTTTAAAAATACTAAATAAATTTTTTAAAATATGCAAAAATTATATTAGCTATATTTTAGTATGAATCTGAGAATCCAATAAATGAATCACCAAAAATGATAATTTCGGGGATAATTATTGGGTTTTCCTGATAAAATAGGGGAATAAATTGATTTAAATTTTTTTAAAAGTTAAGGAAAAATAATAAAATGTTTGGACATACTTGTATATGCGTACATATGCTAATTTTGCATATTAAAATATACAGAAAAAAATTGGGTATCAACACACGCGGGTGTCGAGTTATGATCACAATGTATTATAAAGATATTTTCTAATATCTATAAGCTTTTATACACGAAAGAACAAGGTACCAGTTACTGCATGTGATGATCAGTGTGAATCTTCGTATAGAGACTTGTTTGTCGATGTCAGAATAATAAAATATGTCTGAACCTACGAAAAGGAACGATCCAAATTTAAATAGATACATGTGATTTTTCCAACAAGCTCAATGTCCCTATCACTTCAATTAGGGCTTTCATTCCCGATCCGTTGGATTATGCTCACGCTCTATACCTCTACCCATAATTCTATTTTCTGGTCCAAAGCTTACGTTAACGATCAAGCAACAAGGAAATAAGCGAGGAAATAATATGATTTGAAGCTCATGTTTGTGCGGTCGATATTTTTATTTATTCTATAAATAAGTCATTTAGGTTATTTAGAAGGATAATTAGATTTCTAGCATTTTTGTTTAGGGATTCATACTTTTATAATAACATAAATATTGATTTAGATTTAATGTAGAGTTAGATTTATATATATCTATATTGAATTTTTTATTTGATGCTAATTCATCATAGTATTCTTTATTTGCTCATAAATAAAGTTTATTTAAAATGTAGTAATTATTCAAGTGCTAGAGTACTGATTAAGGAGGATCAAGACCCTTTTATTTATTTAAATAAATAAATAAGGAGCACAAAAACTACCTCTGCAGAAGACACGATTTTTCATGAGTTTGAACGTGTGTTTTTTGAAATTTGAGTTTGAATATATATATGAGTACCCCCCTTGAGTACTCAAAGTGAAAGGGTCCGAGCGGCCATAGGAAAATATCCAGTTTCTCTCGCAACATATCTAGTTTATTCTGAAACAACATTTCTCGAAGTAGCATTCCTATAAGTTGAGGATGAAACCCTTGCTTGTTTATCCCGGCGAGGGTTTATGAATCACTCAAACGAGCCACATCTACCTTTCTTAATCCAATTAACCTGAAATTGAGATGCAATTAATAACTTCAATACTCTTCTTGCAACTTTACGAACTTCAATTTGATGGGACAGAAGATCAATTGATGTACTCGGCCAAATCTGAAAAAAATTCAGAAGTTATTTGTATATGTATTCATTCTTTGAATTTGAGGTTTAAAAATGGATTCTCCAAAAAAAAAAAAATCATCAACAGCATTGGTGTACGAAACTGATTCGGATCATTAAATAAGTGTAGATTATGAGATAATCAATTCTATACTAGTTACCTCATTGGTTGGATAAGGTGAGCCTTATCTAGAGAATAAATTTTCACATGTGCCAACCAAACACTAATCGTGATCCACTTAGCTGAATTAAAAAATTGTTAAACTATACGAACTAATTAAAACCATATCTTGAGGGTTCATATGCTAATTGAATAGTCAATGATTTCTTAAAAATATGCTAATTGAATAGTCAATGATTTCTTTAAAAAAATTGAGGATTTACAAGGTTAGTTACACACAACTACATAAAAATTTATTAGGTGAGCCCATTACGCTGGGCGTTGGCGTATCCATGACGTAAGCCTCGAGGGCCGAGGCGTAAGTCCGTCCCAGGACGAGTCCTGAACAAGTCTCAATTCTACCTTTTAAAATAGAGATGTTAAAAGCAATACGAGAGACAAATTAAATTATCTAGTAGGATAACCAATAGAACTCATTGTTAAAAGAATGACTAAGTATAAATATTAGTAGTGGAATGCTTAAACTAAATTTCCTCTAGTAGAAAACCTCTTAAGAGCTTCGTAGTTGGCTCCTCAAATATAGATTCTATTTAATTGCATAGAATATAATGAAGAATAACGATCATCAATAATCTAAATAAAAGAAAATACCTTCAAATATCTGTTACATATATTTCATTTATCAACCTTGTATCTGGTGAAATATTATCCCGTCCCAATTTATATGAATATGTTTGATTGGACATGGAGTTTAAAAAATGACTGAAGACTTTTGAAATTTATGATTTAAAACAATTTATAGAAACTTGTGTGAAATAAAAGGGAAATTTAAAGTTGAATTGTTACGAAATAGATAAATGTATCATTCTTTTTGGATTAACAAAAAAAAATATTAATGTCACATGAAATGAGACTGAGAGAGTAACAATAAAAAAGAACATTTGTAACGGCTGGTCTCTCATTAACAAATCTAAGGGCCTGATTGGCCATAATGTTTTTAATTTTTTCTGAAAATATTCATTTCTTTCATAATTAGTGTTTGGCCAAGAAAATTTTAAATTCCGCTTGAAGTTGAATTCCGAAATTTTTTAAAAATTTTAAAAACTCTAAAAAGTTATTTTTCAAAATTTTTACTTCAAATCATTCACAAAAATTCAAAATAGCTCCAAATTGTATGCATATCCAAATACAACTCTAATTTTCAAATACCATTTTCACTTAATTTTTTTTTCCACTTTTTTTCTGAAATTTCACAATTCTTATGTCCAAACGCCCACTAAGTGCTAAAGCTGTCATGTACAAAACATGGGGCATAAGTGTGTACCATTTCCTGACGTAACGTATAACGCAATTATTAGTACTACTATTGTACAAAAGCTCATAAAAAATTAAACAAAAAAAAAAAAGTCGCATACCGTATTCTCTTTTATCACGATGGAAGTTGGAAGGACGAAGGCAATAGCCCAACCCAAGTCTAACGAAACAACCCGCACGCCCGCAGCTGCAGAAATGGACGCAACAATCGACGTTTGAATTTTCCAAAATTCCAATTCCCAAAACCCACCAAACAATTCCAGTCCTCTTTCTCCCTTCTTTCCCCCCTCACTTCGATCGAGGACCCATTTTCTTTCCCCCTTTCTCCCAAACCCTAATTTCAAACCCCCCCAAATCTCTATTCTTATATCAATTCAATTCAATCCACACATATATAGATATATAGAGCCAGGTTGAAAGAGAAAGGAAGGAAAATATATAGAGAGAAGGGTTGATGGCGGCGACTATAGAAGGACAAGATAGGGTTCTTGCTGCAGCTCAACAGATCGTTAAGAGTCTCAACACTTCCACAAATGTTGACACTGATGATATGCTTATGATCTTATCTACCTTTGATAATCGCCTCTCTAAGCTCTCCAATTTCATGACTTCATCATCTTCCTCCACTCCTAACTCCGCCAAAGCTGCCGCCGCCGCTGCCGGAGGCGATGATTCCTTTGTGGATCCTCGATTCGAAGCTGCAGAGCAACTTATCCTTCATTGGAACTCCCCTCCCAACGCCGATCCTGATTCCACCTTCGATTACCTCGCCGCCGTTGACGAGATTATTCAGATGACTGACGATCTGAATCTTCAGCCGGAAAATGATCTCGTCATGGACCGAGCTGAGGCTGCTCTTCAGCATGCCATGGCTCATTTAGAAGATGAGTTTCGCCATATTCTCATTGGCAATACTGTTCCTTTCGATGCCGGCCGCCTCCACGAGTCCTCCTTCATTCGCCGTTGTTCCATCTCTTCATCTGCTGTCGAAATCCCTGATTTTGAAACTGGTACTTTATCCGAGGATCAGGAGGATGTTAACAGTGGAAGGTACAATCATGTCAAAGGGAAGAGCCTTGGAGGAGATGAATTCTCCCTTGATTTGGTATATCCGGATGCTATTATTGATCTGAGAGAGATTGCTAACCGTATGATTCGATCCGGATATGAAAAAGAATGTTGCCAAGTATACTCTAGTGTTCGTAGAGAGGTGCTTGATGAATGTTTAGCAATACTTGGCATTGAGAAACTGAGCATTGAGGAGGTCCACAGGATTGAATGGCAGTCGCTGGACGAGAAAATGAAGAAATGGATTTATGCTGTAAAAGTTCTGGTGAGAATCCTTTTATCTGCTGAAAAGAGCTTATGTGAACAGATTTTTGTAGGCTCAGAGTTGATTAAAGAAGTGTGCTTTATGGAAACTGCAAAGGGCTGTGTGATGCAGCTGTTGAATTTTGGAGAAGCTGTGGCGATAGGGCGAAGGTCGTCTGAGAAGTTGTTTAGGATTCTGGATATGTATGATGCCCTGGCAGATGTTTTATCTGACATTGACCTGCTTTATAACGATGAATCTGGTGAAATGGTATGTAGTGAGGCGAAAGGGGTGTTAGATGGCCTAGGAGAAGCAGCTATTGGGACATTTGTGGAGTTTGAGAATGCAGTTCAGCGGGAGGCTTCAAAGAAACCAACACAAGGAGGTGAAATCCACCCATTGACTCGTTATGTTATGAATTATGTGAAATTGTTGGTTGATTATAGTGATACATTGAATGGACTTTTAGAGAAGGTAGAGAGTGAATGTGAACCTGACAGTTCCCGGATTGAAAATGGTGATAATTTGGAGTTTGAGAATGCAGTTCAGCGGGAGGCTTCAAAGAAACCAACACAAGGAGGTGAAATCCACCCATTGACTCGTTATGTTATGAATTATGTGAAATTGTTGGTTGATTATAGTGATACATTGAATGGACTTTTAGAGAAGGTAGAGAGTGAATGTGAACCTGACAGTTCCCGGATTGAAAATGGTGATAATTTGGAGTTTGAGAATGTCCCACCACTTGCGAGGCGGTTGATGTTACTGATCAAGTCTTTGGAAGCTAATCTTGAAGGGAAGTCGAGAATGTATGAAGATAGCGGAATGCAATATATATTTTTGATGAATAATGTACATTACATAGTACAGAAAGTGAAAGATTCGGAGCTTCAAAAACTTTTAGGTGATCAGTGGGTCAGAAAGCGAAGGGGTCAAATTCGACAACATGCTACAGGCTATCTTAGAGCTTCGTGGAGCAAGGTTCTATCTTGTTTGAAGGATGAAGGGCTTGGTGGAAGCTCAAGCAATGCCTCAAAGACAGTCCTCAAGGAGAGGTTTAAGAACTTCAACTTATGTTTTGAAGAAATTTATAGAATCCAAACGGGTTGGAAGGTCCCAGATGCTCAACTGCGCGAAGAACTGAGGATTTCTATTTCTGAAAAAGTGCTACCTGCCTATCGGTCTTTTCTGGGGAGGTTTGGGGGTCATTTAGAGAGTGGAAGAAATGCTGGGAAGTACATAAAGTATACTCTAGAGGACTTAGAGGGTTACTTGTTGGATCTATTTGAAGGAACACCTCTTGTTTTGCACCATATGAAAAGAAAAGGCACGTAGAGTGCAGGTCTTTGGAGACAGGTATGCCTCCTTTCTAAGGACTAGCATGTCTAGAGTATAGGCTGCAGATGTTCTGTTTCTTTGTTGGCCTGAATGTGTTAAAAGCAATTTCAATGAGACTGGCTATACTCTTGTTCACCTACTGTAATAACTTTGTGAGATGTATATGTATTATATGTGAGATCTGGTGATACAATGGTCTATGATCGAGCTCTTCAGACCGTAATTTCATCATATGGATAGAATTTCATCATATGGATAGGATACTTGGTAAGCTAATCATTATAGTTTCCTCGTCCTGCTTATGGTTTGCAATTTACTGCTGACTTGTTGTATCCCAAACGACGCAAAGTGACTTTGTATCTGGAGATGTTATTTTGTGTTCTTGTTTAAAAGGAAATTACAGAAAATAGTATTCGTCTGGAGCTGCTTTCCTTTTACTCCCAAATGAAACAGTTTCAGTGTTTTGGGTGTGTGTATATCTATAACTCGCTTTCTTATCTTTACACACTTTCTTATCTATAATAAGTGGTGTTTCGGTATACGTTCCTGTTTGAAGTTGCTGCTTGTGGATAATGCCTATATTATCCAGTATTAGTATGTGACTAGGCATCTCTACCTTCTCAAGGTAGAGTAAGGTATGCGTACACACTACTCTTCTCAAGACTCCACTTGTGGAATAACACTGGGTTGGTTGTTGTTGAGTATGTGACAAGGCTACAGGGATATCAAAAGGCCTCTCACAGTATTTGCCGATGAATTTGCATTGTGCTTATCTTTTCCTTCTATTTATCTCTTTTCTCTTTCCTAATGAATCACTTGGCTGCCGACTAAGCAGATACTATAGGAGGATACATAATTCCAAATCTTATTATCTTACCTGCTCTGAGTTATGTCTAGTTACATTGATCCAAGTTTTTGCCCCTTCCTTTGTTCTTTGCTTTTGTTTTATTGTGATAAGTCACACAAGGCAAACATAACTGCAAGCCTACCAAAGTAGGCTTTGATAGATAGCAAATCAGTAATTCCTAGTAGTGAGTAAAATATTTTAGGCTTCACAAATGTCTGTTATGCTGCCATTTTCTTAGATGATAATTGTGGTGTCCTTCCATTCGGGGTACTTGCTACTTCCCACCATCTCAGGTGTTGGGAACTCTCCTCACCAAGGTTTAGACAAATTGGAAGAGATCAACTAACATTTTTTTTTTCTCTGCTGGGATTTGAATCTTAGTCTCCAAGGTTTCATCCCACTTCGTTGACTGTAAGTCACACCCTTGGTTGTGCTAGTTAGGTATGTCGATTTTCCTTCAAACATTATAATCTTGTTCGGCTAAGGGATTGCTTTTTAACTTCCCATAGGTTATTGATTTTATCTTGTTGCTCTGAACTTCTCATATTAACTGAAGCTCCAGGTGCACTCTGACTTCACTATGCGCTTTCCTAAATATGCGTTGTAGTTTGAAATTTCAGAACTTTCTGGTTTCACGTCCAACCAAGAGAGATCTCACAGTAAGGACTTGCCATTATTTCGAGTTTTCACTGATATAGTGCGTCAGTTAATATTTGTGGTTATCACTTTCTTCTACGACTTAGCTTTATCATTATTATATTTCCGGTGCCCTTTAAGTTGCAAACATTTATTGTGATGCTTTATGTTCTTCACCCCATATCAGCAGTGTTTCCCCCTTTTGATAAGTCAGAAAGAATCTTTATTCCAACTGAAAATACCAATGAGGCTTTAGAAGTGCACGCAGGAAAAACTCAGGTACCCTTACCATTTAAACATCCAAAGACCCCTGAGGACATAGTGTGAGTTTAAATCATATACATCCAGGGAAAAAGCCATTGTTGACTCGTGGGTGGTTTTTTTTTTCTGTATCAAAAAGTTTGTGTGGTCCATCTGATTTGCATCAAATTACCTCTGCTTTTTCACGGGCCAGATTATTCAAAAAACGCAAGCTGGAATTGTATACTTGAAGTTCACTGTCTTCCTTAATTTAAAAAAAAAAAAAACTTTACGTCTACTGTCTTCCTTCCCATTCGTCTTCTTGCCAGCTCCAAAGCAGTTCCTTGACTGTCCTTGGTATCACCTATCATAAGCCATACAAACAGAACAATTCTTCTTCTTCACCTGTCAGGGTGAAGTAGATGATTCATCTCTTCACTACTTTTTGCTACATGTAACACCTATGCAAATAACCATACTTGTTTCTGGGGATTGTATGTTGAATAGGCCTCATGGGAGGGGTGGTGTGGTTGAGTGGCATCCATTTTTCAGATTATTCTCCCAGGCCACTGTATTGGATGTGTTATGTGTCTAACAATTTATGGCCAGATTCTACGGAGTACTTTCCATCTTTTTTTTCCTGGAATGATAGTGGTGTCCAGACCAACTTGCACACACCTCGACTATTCGACCGGGTACCTGCTACCTCCAGCCAACACATGTATTGGGTGACTTTTCCCGCCAAGGCTTATGCTCCATACTTTAGTTACCTCCATTTTATTGAATCTGGCACCACTTCATATCTTAATCCATTTTGATCTTTTTTGAAGTTCAGTCTTATTGTCAATTTCCCACTCTTTATGATTCCTTGTGAAGGATTACACCAACCATTTTCTAATCGATCACTTTGGCATAAGATGAATTTTCTTCTTTTCATTGTTTCGTTCCCCATGCTACCATCTCTTTTTATTTTATTTTTCACTGTAGTCCATCTTATCTTTTTGTTCCTTCCTTCCCACAAAGAAATCATTCTTGAGTTTATTCAATTGTTCTACTTCTCATGGATTGGGATTTAATGACATTAGATTTGGCGGAATGCCATCCAAGACCGTGTTCATAATGTCAATCTACCTTCAAAGGAGAAGTATCGTGTCATTCGACGAGTCAATTTCTTTTGACACTTCCCAATCACACTTTTAGTTTGACATCGAATGATCTCTTTTCTTTTCCTTTTGATGAGTAATATCTAGTATTTTGCTTTGGCGTGATTACTGTTGGGACTTGGTAAAACTTCGAGTTGTCTCAGCTCTAGTTGGTATTAGGTCTTCGTTTTATGGAAATACTGGTGGCTGTAGGCATTTCTTAGCTTCGACTGCAATAACCTCTTTTCCTTTTTCTCCTTGAATCTTGATAATGACCATTTTATCCACCTAACTGAGCTCAGAATTCAAATTGCATCGTCTGATGTACTGGAATGATAGACCATGTAATAGTAGAAGAATTATATCTATGGCATGATCCTAACAGAGGATCCACTTATTTTCTAACCTGGGCTTGCATACACTCAAGTGCAATCGCATTCTCAGATAATTTCAACTGTAGATGCAATTCTTGCTGTAAGTACATTATATTTAAAGTATTGAAATTTTTTGGCATGTGGTGCACTATGTGCTTGTTATGAGGATCTTTTCATGCTTTCTAGATTATGTTCATGGTTTTGTATCTGCATAGAAATACATCAGGGAGATAAAGGAAGGTGTCATTGCAGCTTTAATTGTGCCCTTATTCCTTCAGTGGCAAGCCTAGATTGTTTTCTTGTTTCAGGTTCAGGGTATGAGGTGCATTTAGGTCTTTGTTCCCAAAGAACATAGAGATCTTCTGCATTATGCAAGGTGTCCTTTTTTTTTTTTTTGGGCCCTTCGTTTCTCGTGGAGGGGAGTAGAAATGAGGTTCATCTCGAAAGGCATATTGGTAGTTAATGATTGGTAATTGCAGTTAATTTTTTGCTTTGTTGAGGAAGGGGATGAGGTGGGTGGAGGCACTTAATAGTTTGGTTCCAAATGCAATAACTTCTGGCAATCTTGATGCTGACTCTAGCTAACTTTTTGACTGAGTTTTCAGTTGTCACTGGCTGAGTTCAGTGCGTTTGCTTTTTTCATTTATGATACCCTGATTGCAGAAAGCTAATGTTTTGAGGGTCGATTCAGGTTCAAATTTTAGCGGACATGAAAATACTACATTATTTCTTGAGATTTTTTCCTTCCTATACCATATATGAAACTTTATTACCAAATATGTGCATAGTATCTAAATTACCCGCCTGGTCCACATTTTTCCTACAATTTCTGTACCATTCGTTTATTAGGAATTAATAGGGCAGAATCTTCCCTTAATAACGCGCGAAAAATCAAGAAAGAATCTTGAGATTGATTGATTCTACATTAAATTCAAGTTTTGAAACGGAAAGGAGATTTCGCATCTGTGTAATTTACTCTTAAATTACAATTTCAATTTTTTTTTTTTTAAAAAAAATACGAACAGTTTCAACAAACTGAATTCAAATTGTAGCATTCAAATCTTCGAGATTCAACAACTCAACATTGCTATATTCTGTTCTTCGTCGTTTCCAGAAATCAAATTGGCGATCATATATCTGTTCTTCATGTTTTTTTCTCTCAATCTAGAAATCCAAAAAAACGAAAAAATCTAGAATAATACATCAGCAACAACACGCAATCATGTCCAAAATCACAATCATGCTACAATTGAATGGGAATTGGGATAACTATGACAGATTTAGAGATTTTGAAGTTGATGCCATTGTGGTAGATGAGAATGCAAGCTACAGTATTTTGATTTCTACAATTGCAGAACAACTATCGATTGATACTTCAGAAAAAATTGTAGAAATCAAATACATGGTGAACGACAATTGTCCCCCAATGGAGATTAGGAATGATATGGGGGTTCGTGTGTATATGGAGAACAAAAAAGAGAATAAAAACTTAGGATTATATTCGTTATGTATAAGTGTACGAGATTTCAATATGAAATTGGCAATCACCAACGATAACACAAGTGCAGGTTTGTATAGTTCGAAATTGCATAGAATTATGGTTTTACGGTATTATCTACAAAATTACTACATTTACCTACAATTAAACTACAAATCAGTTTAATGAAAGAATAAAGCAGTGTTGTTTTCAAAATTATCTACAAAGTTACTACATTTATACGACAAAATAAACTACAATCTATGATTAGAAATTGTTGATTTCAAAATGTTGTCTTCAAATAAAACTACAATCTATGTTTAGAACAAAATCTAGTCAAATAAAATACAAATCAGTTTAATTATGTATGAAGCAGTATTGTTTTCACAAATTTCTACAAATTGCAACAGTTATAGTACAATTTAACTACAATGTCTGACATCCTAAAATGGATGCCTACAAAATTTTCACTATATCTACAAATTATCTACAAAATTATAATGACACTATTTATCTTTATTTTGATGCAGGTTCATCTGGATCCCTAAAGTTACTTGATATGCCATCCTATCCAGCTATAGAGGAATATCAAAGTGAAATAATAACAGAATCTACG